ACCGCAACAAAAAAACAAACATAAAAAAAAATCCCTACCCAAAACCCAGATCTACCCACCACCACCTCCCTCCCTTCAGCACCAATTTAAACCCCACGTACCTAGATCTGCCGACCACGACACCGCAACCCAAAAAAAATCAAAAAAAATCTGACCACACATCATCACCAACCAACCCCCAAAATCGGAACTCCAACCACCACCACCACCACCATATATTTCAAAAAAAAAAATCCCAAAACAAAATTAACAAAATAAAATCAAAATTAAGAACAAAAATAGATAAATACCTTAATTTGACCAAACATAACCTCGAAATTGGGTTTATAAGCCAAATTCGACCATGAAAACTCTAGATCTAAAGTTTTCATGGTCGAATTTGACCCAAAACCTTCATTGTTGATGTCATTGTTGGTGCCGTTTTAGTTGATATCGACGTTGTTGGTGTTGTTGCGGCGGAATAGTGGTAGTAAGGTGGGTGAAAGAAATGAGAGAAGATGAACGAAAATTAATAAGGGGGACAGAAGGAGATCGAAAAGGAGACAGAAGGAGGTCGAAAGGGAAATAGAAGGAGAAAGAAAAAGAAGGATAAGGGGGGCAGAAGGAGAAGGGGGACGGTGGTAGAAAGAGGAGAGAGAATAGGAATGAGAAGGTGAAAGGAAAGAGGAGAGAGAAGAGGATCGAGAGAATGAAAGAAGAGATAGAAGGAGAAGGGGGAAAGAGAGATTAGGGGCGGAAAAGTGAAGTGGGGGATTTAGGGTTTTTAGTTTTTAAGGAGGTTGTTTGTTTTGTTTTTTTAAAATATGTTGCGACGGAAATTTCCGTCGGTCCGACGGATTTATATTCCGTCGGAAAATGTAATTTCCTTCCTACGGATTTTTATTTCGTCGGAAATTTCCGACGGAATAAAAATCCGTCGGAATTTCTGAGTTTTCCGACGGAATTACATATTCGTCGGAACCAGTCCGTCGGAGATAGACCTATTTCTAGTAGTGACCCCTAACCGACCTAGTAACCCCTAGTAACTTCTTAAGTAACCCCGACCTAGTAACCCCTGAAATAAACATCCACAACAACAAAACAGGGACCACAAATTCATCCAAATCAAACCAAAATAACGAAACTTTCAAGTATCAATTTAAATCAATTTTGCATAGAACAAATTTATATAAGAAATGTTGCAGATGATAAAGGAAGCAATCGTTGGTTTGAATGAAAATCAATTAAAAAAATACTATAGAATGAATCAATTAACAAAATACAGTAGAATGAATCAATTTACAGTAGATAAGAGCAATTAACTGAGATTTTACAATTGCTCGACTCCACCAGTAATCAATTAACAGGACGACGACGGAGGTGGAGGTCTTTGGCTGATTTCGCCGGCAAATATGAAGACGACGACGAATGTTTGGGTTGGTTTAGAGTTCGAGGAGCTTCGACGACGACGAAACGAAGACGGTGACGACGATATGGCTTGGAGCTTCGAGGAGATTTGGACGGAGACGACGAACCTGATGACGGCGGAAGACCTAGCTCGGCCATTGATGGTTAGAGAGAGAAAGTTAGGAAGAGAAAATGGAGGAAGATAGAGGAGAGAGAGGAGAGAAAGAGAGGAGAGAGAAAATATAAAAAAAAAAATAAAAAATATGGCAGCTGTACGGTGCGGCCAGCCGTATATAAAACTTTGTGTTCTTTATTATTACACTACTTGTCTTTTTAGGAAGTTTTACAAATATTGCACCATTTCCTCTTTAGGAAAAAAATTATATGTGTTCACACTATAAATACCCAACACACCCTTATTTTTTTACAATTACAGTACTTTTTAGTTTATCTATATGTTACATGGGTAATTTTGTATTTTTACCTTTCTCTCGCCTTTTCAATTCCCACCACCAAAATATTGTACCCAACCCCTATGTGTGTGTGTGTAATAATAAAAAAAAAATGTTCGTTTGAGATTATAAATGTAGGAACGAGGCCAATAAAGTAACCAAGATATGTGATTACTCATAATTATGCTCAAGAATAATCAAGATTTGGAATAAGATACATGATTTAGACAAGGCAATCACTATCAATTACTATATAAAACTTTCATAATTATTTTATCACACTGTATTATTCATTGATAGTTATGGTTAATTGATTTTGTTTCACTTACAATTATTTGCAAGTTAAGCTAGATACTTCCTTTCTAATTTATGTATGTCATACTTTAAACGTTTTTTTTTCGTGATTTTTGTAATTAGTCCAATACTCGATGACTTTTAAAGCACTCCACGCAATTATAAGAGATACCAATTTGTTAAAACGATTAGAATTTTGGACAATACAAAAGCTCACATAATGATCCATCACAATTAACTTCATTCTAAATAGGTTCACTAATCTTATAACACTATTAATTAGTTGACTATGTAACATAATTTGCATAAAATTTCTAGGTTTTAACACTATTATTTTGTATTAATTGATGGGATTGAAGATTTGAAGTTGAGCATATTAGTGGACAGATATGAAAAGATAATTTTGTTTGCATCATGAAAAAAAAGGAAAAAAAAGTTAGAAAAGTTGTCACTTCTGGAACCACAGATCTACAATGGCATACGTTGAGCTAGACAATAAATTACCTACACAATCTAAAATATCCATAACTTTGCATTAATATTAAAAACAAAATGTGTCTAATTAGATTCCCCAACACAATATAAAGTAAAGCCTCTCTAATTTCTTTTGTTAATCAAATTGTTTGATTTTTTTTTTCAATTTTTTAAAAGAAAAATGGTACGTCGTGATTCATGTTTTGTAGACTAAAATAAACTTTAGCATATACAATGCTCAATCACATTAATGCAGTACTTTATGCTTATTACTGTAAATTGTACATATAATATCACTTTTGACAACAAAAAGGACAATCTTAAAGTTAAATAATAATTAGCTTTTTTTTTTTATATATAATTTTTGTCCTGAATTTGTTGTTGATTCTCTTTTCATATACTGCTAAGATTAATCACTGCATATAAGAGTGGCCCACTTAGTGATTGGATAACAACATCATATGTAACTGTACTCACGCGCTAACTAGAAACTCATATCATGGAGTAGAATATGGTTATTTGTATTATTGTATTAGAATATGTCTTGAATCAATTTATTTCCTGTGAACAATGCAACATAGGATCTCGCTAGGTCTTAAGACTATTATTAACCTAGCCCAATGTCATAGTTATTGTTTGTAAAAGTGACGGAGTATTAGTATATTTGTCTATTTGTGTGTATGTGTTCTTTTTTTTTTTTTTATCTTCAATAATCTTTACTTTGTTGCATCCCTTATGACATTATTTAGGTTATTTAACTTGTATAATTGCTAGCTCAAAAGCTTGTATACATTGAGAGATGGCATGCATGCAATTGCATGAGCACCACCTAAAATAACATAATAAAACAAATTCGCTATTATATACTTAGTATATTTTAACGTAATTTAAGTTGAATTTATCACTCTGTAATAAATAAGTATTTTAATACATATTAGCAAATCATTATTAACAAGACTTACTACAAATATTATTACTAAACACACACACACACACAAAAAAAAAAAAAAAAACACCAAGAATACTCCGTAATTACTAAGGTTAAAAATTAGCTAATACGAGTTGCTAGCTAGCATAATCGAAGTACTGAAATTGATTTTGACATACCCAAATTTGATTTTAACACACTTTTGTATGTATGAATATAATTTTCTGTGCTTTTTTTCATATCAATTCAAGCCTTCAAAGCTAAGTGTGCCAATTTCAGCATAATACTTAGCTAATGACAAATACGCAATGATGACGTAATTGCCGAGATTTATTCATGAGGATTTTTTTATTATTATTATTATTTTTTTTGAAGAGTATTCGCGAGGGTGTAGCAATTATTTACGAAATTACGAGTAGCATGTACCAATTTTTGTACCTCGTCAAACGTAATCATGGTAATTGATTAAAAGCTTTTAGGAATAGTAACAAATTTACTACAATTATTCTCTCTGTCTGTTTGCAGCCGTTTGAATTTTTATCAAGAGTGAACATTTTGTCAAATTATCATTGACTACAGTCTAAAGTTACTACAGAAATTCTCCATGAAAAAGTGCAATATCAAGAGTAAATATTGCTCTGTGTCTTCGTTTTATATTACTACCTCCGTTACAAATTATGTGTAATGATTAAATATTTTTCCTCTATGTTTTATGTCAAATTATTAAACAAAACCTGTAACGGAGGTAGTATATGCAATTTTAAAATATTTTATATCTAACAAATACAGTAATATTTAAAAATTACACATAACAAAGGAAGTATATTTGTATTAATTATTTTGAAAGAAATGAAAAATTATGATGAAGAAATTGTATTTTAAAACAAATTATGTAATTTACTAATATGTAATCTATACTTAAAAATAAATTAAGAAAACAGAGATGGTACTCCGTAATATATAAATAAATTTTTTTTTTTTTTTGGTGCTTAAGTATAGTCTTAAAAGAATATGTATTAAGAAGATTTATTTCATGTTTTTATTATTTGGTCCACCTGAGTAGGGTCAAGGTTTGGAAATTAGAAACAAACAATCTTGATCAAAAGAGTTAATGAGAGTGAGACATGAAAAACGGGGTACTAAATTATTTCAATTCTTACCTTTAACTGAAAATAAATTGATTTTGATCACTCTTCAAAATAGGCAAGTTGAATACATATACTTTCATATGACAATCAAATTATTTTTACGAGTGGATAAAGTTCCGTTAAATATAATATGTAAAACTAAAAATTAGACTAACTCACCAAATATTATTCGCAACTGATACCTAATTTCATCTTTCACATTTAATTATACGGAGTATTTAATTCCGTACTTTACAGATTTAAAATTGTGTATATACTAGTATAATCTTCAATTCTAAAAAAAATAAAAAAAAATAAAAAAAAATTAAAACCTCCATGAACGAACGTCTAATTTATTGAGAATTTTGGGAGGAGAACCAAATTAGTAAAAGGAAAAAAAAAAATTGAAAACAATAGAAAAGTTCTAAATTAACTCTCCAAACAAAAAGAGGAGAACTAATTTTTTTTTTTTTTACTAATTCACAAACAAAAGAAAAGAAAAACAAGAGTTTTTAAAAAAGAGAGAGATTATACACACACAAAATTCACACTTACAAAAGAAAAAAAAAAAAAAAAAAACTAGGCAACACTCACATTAATCCCACAACAAACCTTCAAAAGTGGTTGAAATAACATTTTCAGGCACCACTACAAAATCCTCCATACACTGCATCATCCATGGTGGATTATGATATATCCACCCATTATTATCCCCACTATCAAAATCATACACTAACTCCCTCCCCATCATCTCCCCTGAGTTTCCTACCGGCCCGAGGCTCGGCAATTCCACGATCTCGCTCAACTCGTCCGAGTTCCCTATCTCCATTGCTGACACCATGGATGATAGGGACGAGCACGAGGACAACGATGACGAAAAAGACAATGAGCTGGAAGATGAAGATGATGACGACTTATTATTGTTATCGTTGTTGTTAGTAATACAGTGGATGTTTTCCATAGCTGCTGCTTTAGCTGCAGCAGCTTGTACGTCACGAGGGCTTTGTGACACGGGCCGGGGTAATAGCCCGGCGAGTTCGGGGAAGTTAAGGATAGCGGATTCACCCTTGATGCTAAGAGCAGCTACGTCGTGTGCTCGGGCTGCCATTTCGGGGTTAGGAAAAGTCCCGAGCCAAATGCGGGACTTTTTCTTGGGTTCCCGAATTTCAGACACCCATTTGCCCCATGTCCGCATTCGAACCCCGCGGTATACTGGGTGTTTCCCGCCAGAGTCTCGGGCTCGTTTCGGCGTCTTTACGGGGTCCAAATTCGGAATAGAAGTGGTAGTAGTATCATCTCTGATACTACTACCACTTCTATTATTGTTGATGTTACTATTAATAGGTATCTGAATTTCCATCATTTTTTCGCCTTTTACTCAATTTCAACCCACTTTCAGTACTATTTTTGGTGTTTATGATCTTCCCAATTAGGAAATAATGAAGGAAATTTATGGGTTTTTTTTTTTTTTTTTTTTTTGTTACTTGTTGTATAGAAGTGGAAAATAAGAAGCAAGCTAAGAAAATGAGAAAGGAAAGATTTTAAGTGGAATACCAAGACCATATAATTTGGCAATGACTAAATTAAAATGAGGAAGAGTTATATTATAAGGGGGTAGGGGGAGGAGAGAGAAAGAGTGGGACCCAAGGAAAAAGAAAAGTGGGGCAACCTCTCCAATTATGAACACTGTCATTCAGAAAAAATGAATAGTGACTTCAATATTATGTTTTTCTATGATTTTTATTTTTTTTATTTTTAATTTTTTTTTAATCTGTCACTGCATATTTTGCCGTTGGTTGTACTATTGAATTATCCTCTCCTCTTTTTTCTCTGCTGCTCTTCTTTACTGCTAGACTGCTAGTAGTAGAGTTTCCTTGAACTTTTATTCATATATGCATTTTTCATTTTTTTCGACTTAGGGCCCGCTCTCATAGAATGAACTCAGCTGAACTGAACTGAACTGAACTGAATTGAACGTGTATGTAAACATAAGATTACAATTTTAGTATTACATACACTCCATGTTATTTTTTGTGTCTCGAATTTTCTCTTTGATGTATAATTAATCGAAACTTAGCTAGTAAGGCGAACAATTAGAAACGAATGGAATGGAAACAGTAGACAATAGTAGCAGGATGTACTAGTGGGTATATAATCTACAATCTTAGCTTGAGACGACATTAAATTGGTACACATGCCCCTATGACAATGACCACTACTACTACCTTCCACCTCTTTGGTCTTGATTTCCTCCTGTTTTCTTCCATATTTGATGTACTGCTGTGTGCTGGTTGGAAATGCAAGCGAAGGGAAAAACTATTTAGGATAATGTAAGTTTTTTTTTTCCCTCATTGGGATCGGAGCCGGAAAGGTGATTTTAAAATGAAAATCTTTTCTCTTGCTCTCATATATCTATATATCCGTATTAACTTGCGTGATAATTGATAAAGATAAGTAATTTGTTACATAACACTTGTTTGTTTATTACGAAACATATACTCAGTATAGAAGATTTTTGCAATTATTTTCGTCTCACTATATTCATATATTGTTTGGAATTAGAAAGTGATACTTTATAGCAAAATCGACCACTCTCTCATACATATACTCCAATCCGCTCTTCTGAATTAGAAAGCATGAAAGATTTGTCGATAATTTGTCATCCATTAGAATAACTTTTTGACTTACAGTGTAATAATTACTCGTAATCTTCTAAATGCATGTTGGAGAAGAACTATTCAATTGAAAGTTAGACTAGGGCATACTGTTAGGGATAATGGATTGGAATTGAAGGGGGGAAAGGGTTTGAAAGACTATATAGACTTTTTGGGGGAGCTCCTCGGTGTCCTCGCGGGGAATGGCCTTTCGGTCGACTTCCTTGTTGCATCTCCCTAAGGAAATGGGAGGTTTGGGCCTTCGTAGTGTCGAGCACCTTAACTCAACTTCGTGTTGGCGGCTCCGTCATCATCTCCAGCTTCTTATTTCCAAGCTCTTGTCTGCAAAATAACCTTCTATCTTGTCTTTGCCTCAAGGGAGGCTCGGTTGTCGATCTTGGGGTAGCCAGGGTCTGGCTTTGGGCGGGTATGCAAACAGTTTCACAAGGGGGTTGCCTGGAATGTCGGTATGGGTACTAAAGTGCGTATGTCAGAGGATGATTGGGCCCCGGGTGGCCTTGTTCAATTTAAATCGGTTGTTGGTGGGTCGGATGCCTCGACTCATGTGTCTTCTATCATTAATCCGCGTTATTACGCGTGAGAACCATCTTTGGTTCATAGGTTCTTTGATTCTCCTACGGCGTCCCGTATTTTGTCAGCGGAGCGTCCTCAGCAGCTCATGGTTGATTTTGTTTATTGGAAGTTCACAAGGGACGGTAGATTCTCTACTAAGTCTGCCTATTCCTTGCTAGTTTGCGCCTCAATGGAGAATATTGTAAGTAAGCCCGTTCCGGAGGTGTGGTGTAAAAAGTTGTGGGGAATGCCTATTCTTCCCAAGTTGAAGATCTTTTGTTGGAAAATGCTTCATAATGCCTTACCTATGTTGGCTTCTCTGAGTTTGAGGGGTGTTCCGGTCAACCCAGTTTGCATCTTCTGTAGGGAAGCTTCTGAATCGTCTTCTCATATTTTTCGAGATTGCTCCTTTACTCGCCACATTATCATTAACAGGTTTCCTTTGTGGTCCGACCCATGCCTTTCAGATCGTCCATTTGAGGTTTGGTTCTCGGATCTGATCCCGGGATTTAGTTCTCGGAAGCAATGGAGGGATCTACGTTCCTTTTTATGTCTCCTCTGGGCCATTTGGGTGTCGCAAAATTAGTCATCTTCAGGCATGCTTGATAGGCCGTCGTCGAGCCTACCAAAGATAATAATTCCTATCTTGGTCTCACTAACAATAGTAAGGGTAAGAAAGGGTCGAACCCAAGAGAGGCGTTGAATCAACCACCGAGTACTACCGTTTAAATAAGCTAAATGAATTCTAAATTGGGTTGGTTTTGAGTAACTTCTTCTAATTCAACTCAACTAAAGCTAAGAGGAGATTAACAATATTAAGAGGAATCTAGGGCTCGGGTTATACCACTCAACTTCATCACAAATCACAATTAGCATGCTACAATCAAGGTGAATTAATGGGACAAATTAGGGGAAGTCATCTAAAGCACCCAACTACTCTCTCAAGCTAGAGGGATTACTTGAATCGTGAATACAACCTACTCTCGTGGTTACATAGCATAAAACAAGTGTTAAAGCATAATCACGATGACATAAACATTCCCTTGACCGGTAATCCCTATTCTCATGGCATTTCGGGTCAATTAAGCATAAGGGAGCTAACTCAAGTTCATCTCTCGATCCTTCGTTGAGAAAGCTTGGATAAATAGTTCTAGCAATGGCCATATACAAGAACTAAGAAATTAAACCACTTAAGCTCAACTAATCATCATCCCACAACAACCAAATTAGCACATGCAACAAGTAATTAGTGACTACATTGAGGGTTTTACCCAAACCCTAGAATTTAGTCTACTCATAATCCATGAAGGTTAAAGCAATTAGAGGTTTCAAGCAATTCATGAACAAGTTCAAACTAAGGATTAAGCTAATTAACAATCTAAGCATGCAAGAATTAAGCAAGTAATCAACAACAAAGTAAAGAGAAGTAGAAAAGATGAGTAAGAAATGGTTACTATGAAGCTTCAAAGTGAGCAACAATGGTGGATTTTGTCTTCTACAATGATTGAATTTGAATGCTTCCAAGCTAAAAATTTAAGAACTAACTAATGATTTGAGAATTTAATATTCTAAGACTACAAACTAAGAGGAAAGCTCTAAAAAAAACTGCCCCTTACAAATGAGCTCAAAGGGGGGTATTTATAAGACCCCCAAATAAAAAAGACGGAGAAAACAAGAATCGGGCTTGATTGCAGGTCCGCATGGACGTGCCAGATTCGGCACGGACGTGCAAGCATAAGCACGGTCGTGCCAGATTCGGCACGGACGTGCAGAGGGGGCAGAATTGAGGCAGAACGTACTGCTAAGAATCGAGCAGCTCCGCACGGACGTGCAGATATTGGCACTGACGTGCAGCTACATCTGCACGGACGTGCTTAATTTGGCACATCCGTGCAGGCCTTGGCAGAGTGTTCTAAGTTTTTGGAGCACTCCTGCACGGACGTGCAAGGTCTGGCACGGTCGTGCAGCCTCTTCTGCACGGACGTGCCAAATTAAGCACGGCCGTGCAGGCCTTGGCAACTTGTTGAAACTTTCTGGAACCTCCTGCACGGACGTGCAAGGTCTGGCACGGCCGTGCAGGGTCTTCTAAGCCCTTTTTTCCATCTTTTCTTCTATATTGCTCCTTTCCTTGGCTTCTTTCAACCATCTTCTTGCTTCTAACCTCGGCTTTGTATCCATGGGCTCCATTTGGTCGTTCTTTTGAATCTAGAATCTCAACAAAAACACCAACAACCCGTGAAGCATAGGATACACAAAAATTGCATAATAATAGAGTAAAAATGAACCAAAACGCAATTTTTATCAAGTAAACTAGGTTCAAAACACCCTAAAATCATATCAAATAGCAAGTTATCAAATCCCCCCAAGCTAAGCTTTTGCTCGTCCTCGAGCAAAACAAACATGTCAAACCAAAGGAGGAAAACAATTTGCTAATCATCAATCCAAGGAGAGGCAACAAGGGGGAAGCATAAATAAACAAATCCGCATGGTGACAACCATCATCACTTTTAGCACAAGTGAGAAGCAATTTAAACCTCTAAGTCGCCTTAGAGGACGAGTTTTTATCTCGTGAGGGTTTCCAATGAGTTAACCCCACAACTCACGCAATCCACAACACATCGACAAAAATCACACAAGTTCAATTTTTCGCCCAAGTCAACTCATCGGGATATGAGACACAAGCAAGACAAGTGAACGACTTTCAAGAATTACCAATCATACAAATGTACACATGAGTTGGGGGTAGAGAGGAGAACTAAACAAAGTTGCACTAGGATACTTCCTTTGGCCTTTTACTAGTTCATTAGAGCACACCTAGATATTCCAAAGTTGTAACAAGCCCTCTTTCGGTTATAAAATCTCAAAATGCTTGTCCACCTCCCAAAATGCACACCCAAGGCCCCTTAACTACACTCTAACTCGGGAATTTCATAAGAAACATCAATGCAAACAAGGTGTGGGAGGATACGTCATCCCTCCAATTGTTATCACTCCACTCCCCGAGGATACGTCATCTAGGTGGTCTACAAGCCAAGCCCCTAAATTCAACCTTTCGTCACCCTCACACAAGTGCCAAAGAAAAAGCAACTCACGGTTAGAAACTACACCCGAACTATCTCCCCTAGCAAAAATAGTATTAGCTATTAGGCGCTGGGATAGTCTAAAGGCGGGGTGTACTATGGTAGTGGCCTTGTCGGTCCTAGGATCTCTAGTAAATAGGCCGGTGATTTTTCTCCAAAAAGATCCCGGGTTATGCTTTCGGGAAGGCTTATCCTTAGGTCCGAATTTTCCATCCGTTGGCCACCCAAATGCTTGGTTCACTTGTTCTATGGTCATCTTGTGATGGGTGTTCATCAATTGGAAGGTCAGGTAACGGGGGTTGTTGCGGTTATCTCGGTGGACATATAGTGAGGAGAGGAATTCTAAGGTAAGCCGTTTATAGGTGTTAGCATGCATTTCCAACCAATTTGGGACACCGGTTTGAAAAAATAGTTGTCTAACATCATTCTCTACACCTAAGGCTTCGGCTACCTCATGGTTGTAAAATTTCGTTGGCCGGATTCTTCTCCTACTAATTCTTAGGTAGTTGTTCATGAAATCCGAATTATTAAAGACAATACCTAAGGTGTCCACTTGCGGTGGTTCGATGGTTGATGGAGGTGGAGGATTTCTAAGCCTAGCGGATGAGGTGTTTCTTGGTTGGTTTCTTCTTGACATGGTCAAAAAAAAAAATTTTAAAAAAAAAAAACACTTCAAGCAAGCACAACACCTAATGAACAAGTACTTGAAACACACAAGGCTCTAAGTCTTCCACCTAACCAACACACAACAAGAACAAGCTCGAAAATTTACCAACAATGATCTTATCAATTCAAACAATCCAACACAAAATTGTCAATGCTCACAATTTACCAAAAACAATTCAACAATCCAACACCAAAAGCATCCAAACTCACACAAACCTATCACCAACCAAAATTTCAATGCTCACAATTCAACCAAATTTTTTTTCTTTTATACTACTAAACTAACAACAATCACAATTTCTTAACAAAATGTCAACAATTTGAACTATTACTACTCATAATATCAACCAACAAGCATTTAAACTATATAGGAAGAGCTTGAGATTAGAAAGATTATACCAAGAATATCGTGGGTGTAGAACCCGCAAATGAACCTTTCTAGTACTCCTTGTTATTAATTGAAGGCCCTTGTTCACCCAATTTGCTTAAAAATCAAAATTCAAGAAACCCCCAAATCAATGTTGAAAGTTAGGGTTTGATGAAATTTTGGTATTTTGGGGTTTTGGCGGTGAAAAGGGGTAGTAATTTGTGAAGAGTTTTGAAAGAGGAGTGAAATTTGTAGTTTAGAGTTGGGATTTAAGTGAAAAATGGAGTTTGAAGGGTGAGAAATAGGAGTAGTATGAAGTATGGAGTATGGAGGAGGAAAGAGTGTTTGAGTGTGAAAGAGGAGTGAGAATTGTGAGTATGGGGGGGGGGGGGTCTTTGCTATTATAATTTTTTATTTTTTTATATATATATTTTTTTTTAGTAGAAATCGCCATATTGCTGTGCAGGTTGAACCTGCATGGACGTGCTAAGGTCTGCACGGACGTGCAGGTTTCTGGCAAAATAGCCGCCTCTTCTGTCTTCGATTGCACGGACATGCAGAGGTTGGCACGGACGTGCAACTTGGCACGGTCGTGCTGATTTTTGGCACGGTCGTGCGAAGCTTCAGATTTCAGCTATCCATTTTCTGTATGGTTCTGCCTACATCTGCACGGACGTGCGATGTTCTGCACGTCCGTGCATACCTGATGGTGCACGATTTCTTTCCCTTTTTTTTTTTTATTATTACTTCTCTTTTCAATAAATACTCGGGTTGCCTCCTGAAAGCGCTTCTTTAACGTCACTAGCTTGACGACATTGCGGGATCAAATGTTAGTGAGGAATATCGAACTCATCAAGGTGAACAACTTTTGCCTCTTCGCTCACAAAACCGTCAAAGTACGCTTTTAGCCTTTGGCCATTTACTTTGAACGGTTCACCATTCTCTTTTGGAAATTTCGATTGCACCATATGGGAACACCTTCTTGACGGTAAAAGGTCCACTCTATCTTGATTTTAGCTTACCCGGAAACAACTTCAACCGGGAATTGAATAGTAGGACCTTGTCACCTTCCTTGAACTCCCTTTTGTTGATATGCTTGTCATGCCAAGCCTTGGTCTTTTCCTTGTAGATCCGTGCATTCTCATATGCATCCAATCTTAGCTCTTCCAAGGCATGGAGGTCAAGTAACCTCTTTTCACCGGCACTTTGAAGGTCAAAGTTCAACGTTTTAATAGCCCAATGAGCATGATGCTCAAGTTCTACCGGTAAATGGCATGATTTCCCATATACTAGCTTGTAAGGGGTGGTGCCAATGGGAGTCTTGAATGCGGTGCGGTAGGCCCATAGGGCATCATCTAGCTTCGTAGACCAATCCTTTCTAGACCTATCCACCGTCTTTTCTAAGATCACCTTTATCTCCCGGTTTGAAATTTCGGCTTGACCACTTGTTTGAGGGTGGTAAGCTAATGAAACCTTGTGCCTCACACCGTACTTCTCAAGAAGAGCTTGGAAGGACCGCTTTGCAAAGTGCGAACCTCCATCACTAATGACGGCACGTGGCACCCCAAACCTCGGAAAAATGACCTTCTTGAAGAGTTTGACCACCACCTTAGCATCATTAGTAGGAGATGCAACAGCTTCTACCCACTTTGACACGTAATCGACGGCCACAAGAATGAATTTATTCCCAAAAGAGGTCGGGAAAGGCCCCATAAAATCTATGCCCCATACATCGAAAATCTCCAATTCAAGAATGTTGTTCAACGGCATTTCACTTCTTGAAATATTGCCGGTTCTTTGACACCGGTCACAAACTTTCACTACACCCCACACATCTTTGAACATTGAAGGCCAATAGAAACCACTTTGTAAGATCTTTGCTAAGGTTTTGTTAGCACTCATATGTCCTCCACAAGGTGAGGAGTGACACATTGTGATAACACTTTCAATCTCATCATCCGGGACACACCTTCTAAAAAGGCCATCAACACCTTGTTTAAAGAGCAAGGGGTCGTCCCAAAAGTATTGGCGAACATCATGAAGAAACTTCCTTTTTTGTTGATAGGTGAGGTCGGGAGGAAGAATAGAGCAAGACAAGTAGTTTGCAATGTCCGCAAACCATGGTGTCGGTGCTTGAAGGATGGCAAATAGTCGATCATCCGGAAATGAATCATCAATTGGCAAGTTATCAAGATCACCTACAAAGATAGGCAACCGTGAAAGATGATCGGCCACAACATTTACGGCACCCTTCTTGTCTCTAATCTCAATATCATAATCTTGCAAGAGCAAGACCCACCGTATCAATCTTGGCTTAGGTTCTTTCTTGGACAAGAGGTACTTCAAGGCCGCATGGTCGGTGAAGACTATGACCTTAGAGCCCAACAAGTAGGACCTAAACTTCTCAATTGCATGAACAATGGCTAGAAACTCCTTTTCCGTGGTTGTGTAATTCCTTTGTGCCTCATCCAATGTTTTGCTAGCATAATAGATAGCATGGAGCTTCTTGTCCTTCCTTTGTCCAAGAACAGACCCAACGGCGAAATCCGAAGCATCACACATAAGCTCGAAAGGAAGCTCCCAATTAGGGGGTTGAATTATAGGAGCCGAAATCAAGGCCTCCTTCAACCTATCAAATGCTAGCAAACAATCATTAGTAAACACAAAAGGGGCATCTTTTACCAACAATTGAGTGAGCGGCTTTGCGATTTTTGAAAAATCCTTTATGAACCGGCGGTAAAAACCCGCATGTCCAAGAAAGCTCCTTATCCCCTTCACATTTATAGGGGGTGGGAGGCGCTCAATTACTTCAATCTTGGCACGATCTACCTCAATGCCCCTACTAGAAATCACATGACCAAGAACAATTCCCTCCTCTACCATGAAATGACATTTCTCCCAATTCAAAACTAAGTTCACCTCTTGACATCTTTTTAACACTTTAATCAAGTTTGAAAGACAAGTGTCAAAAGATGAACCAAAAACAGAAAAGTCATCCATGAATACCTCAATTGATGATTCAAGCATGTCGGAAAAAATAGACATCATACACCTTTGAAATGTGGAAGGTGCATTACAAAGCCCAAATGGCATTCTTCGATATGCGAAGGTGCCAAAAGGACATGTGAATGTAGTCTTTTCTTGGTCCTCGGGGTGGATTGGAATTTGAAAGAATCCCGAGTATCCATCCAAGAAGCAATAATGACTATGTGATGCTAGTCTTTCCAATATTTGATCAATGAAGGGGAGTGGGAAGTGGTCTTTCCGGGTGGATTTATTCAATTTTCGATAATCAATGCACATCCTCCACCCAGTGACCGACCTCGTAGAAATGGTCTCACCCTTATCATTTTTGATGATGGTCATGCCTCCCTTTTTAGGCACAACTTGAACCGAGCTAATCCACTTACTATCGGAGATAGGGTAGATTATGCCCGCCTCAAGAAGTTTTAAAACTTCTTTTTTTACCACTTCCTTCATATTGGGATTGAGCCTTCTTTGGTGCTCAATCGAGGAAGCATGATCATCATCAAGTAGAATTTTATGCATGCATATGGTGGGACTTATCCCCTTAATGTCATCAATTTTGTACCCAATGACATCTCTATACTTCCTTAAAACAACTAGGAGTTTCTCAAGAGAGGTGTCATCGAGCTTAGCATTGACAATAACGGGATAATTCTCACTATCATCAAGAAAAGCATATTTAAGTAGAGGGGGAAGGGGTTTAAGTTCAACCTTAGGAGGAGGCGTAGTCCTCTCCTCTTTTGCCTCCACGTTAAGCACTTCAAATTTTATCACCTTGTGGGCCAAAGGTTGGTTGAGCAAGAGATCATACCCCTTTGCTTCTTCACCCTCCTCAACTAAGCTTCCCGTTAAGGTAGCTTGTAAAGGATCTCTTTCATACAATCTTTCTCGGAACTCTTCTAAGTCCCTCTCCAATGTGTCAATTCTATGAACTTCATCAATCAATGGCTTTTTCAAAGTTTGTGAGAATGAAAATGAAATTTTCTCATCTCCCACATTCAAAGTCAATCTTCCTTCCTTCATATCAATCACCACTCCCGCGGTGTTCAAAAATGGTCTCCCCAAAATGAGGGGTACTCTTGAATCTTCTTCCATCTCCATTACTACAAAATCACATGGCACAAATACTCTTCCAACTTGAACCGGCACATCTTCAAGAATCCCCAAAGGTAGCCTAACCGTACGGTCGGATAGTTGTAAGGACATTCTTGTTGGTTTCAAGTCTCCAACTTTCAAGGTCTTTGCAATAGAATAGGGCATCAAGCTCACACTTGCCCCAAGATCACATAAAGCATCCATAGCTTCCAAATCTCCAATCTTCACCGGTATTGCATAGCTACCGGGGTCACCAAGCTTTTGGGGAAGCTTGTTTTGACTGATTACACTCACCTCCTTAGGAAGGGAGATGGTTGCACTCTCTTCAAGCCTACTCTTGTTGGATAGAAGATCCTTCAAAAATTTTGCATAGGTAGGCATTTGTGACATAGCATGAAGAAAGGGGATGTTCACTTGAAGTCCTCTCATGACTTCAAGAAATTTTGAAAACTTCTCATTCAACTTCTTCTCTACAATTCTATGAGGAAACGGAATGGGGGGCTTATATACTCTCATAGGGGGCTTTTCTATTCTTTCTTCATCTCCCTCATCTTTCTTTGTGGCTCCCTCATCACTCTTTTGCTCTTTTCTCTCAACTTCAACTACTTCATTTTCAAAATCATCCTCGCTTCTCACCACAACTCCCTCATCTCTCTTTTGTGGCTCCTCTTCACTCATAACCGGGCCCTCATAACCCCTTCCCGATCTCAAAGTGAAAGCCTTAGCTTGCTCCTTTGGGTTCACTACCATTGAGCTTGGAAAGTGACCACTAGAATTGGAGGATGAGCTTCCAACTTGTTGTGCAATTCGAGCTAATTGGCTCTCCATTATCTTATTATGTGCTTGGAGTTGTTGGATGTTTGCATTCATATCCGCATTGTTCCTTATTTGTTGAGTCATGAATGTTTCAAGAACGGACTCAAGGCTAGTCTTTTGAGGAGGTGGAGGAGGAGGAGCGGGTTGGTTATATTGTGATCTTTGGTGGTTTTGATCCCTTTGGTTGGGATGGCGGTATGGAGCTGGTTGGTTTTGAGAATGAGGTTGGTTGTAGTGGTTTTGAGGTTGGGTTTGATTTTGGTTGTAGTTATTTTGTGGGGGGCCTTGGTTGTATTGCTTCCATCCCGTGTTTTGTTGAGGCTTCCAACTTTGATTGTGGGATTGGGAGTATTGTTCATTCCTTTGCCTAATTGCCGCCGCTTGCTCTTGATTCGTTGAGTTGCAATAAGAGGACAAGTGATCATTTCCTCCACAAGTCTCACAAGACATGACTTGTGAGGAAGAGCTTGAGGGTGTGAGGGTGGCTTGATCTAACTTGTGAGCTAGCATATCAAACTTTGATGTAATAAGATCTATTGCACTAAGATCATGAATTCCGCCCTTCTTTTTTTGAGGTTGCCTTCGATCACCTCCATATGCATAATGCTTGGCCACTTCTTCAATCATCTTATATGCATCATCCACCGATAGCTTTTTGAGGCTACCACCGGCCCCGGAATCAAGGTTGGCCCTTGAAATAGGAGTAAGACCGTCATAGAAGCTTTGTACAATGATCCATGATGTAAAACCATGGTGGGGGCATTTCCTTGTGTAATCTTTGAAACGCTCCCAAGCTTCAATCAATGTTTCATCAATGTCTTGATTGAAATTGGTGATCTTTCTTCTTAATTCGGCGGTCTTTTCCGGAGGACAATATTTTCCAAGAAAGGCTCTAGTGACCTCGTCCCATGTACTCAATGATCCCTCTTCAACCGTTCTCAACCAATGTTTTGCTTTATCACGGAGGGAGAATTGAAACATGTGCATACGGATGAACTCTTCCGAAATGTTGTTTTTCTTGATGGTTGTACACAACTCAAGAAAGTTGTCCAAATGAGCAAAAGGACACTCATGAGGACTACCTCCGAATTGATCGCTTTGAATCATACGGATGAGTTGTGGTGAAAGCTCAAAGTTGTTTGCATTCGTGGTGGGAAGACGTATTCCACTCCGAAGTTGGAATGCGTTGGGGTGGTCATAGTCTCTTAACAATGGTTGAGGAGGATTCTCTCCCATATTATCTTCTTCGTTAGCTCAAAAAACCTCTTCCGGATCAGAATCCGAATATACAATGGAAAACTCGGGTGTGCCTTGCAAGAGTCTCCTCACGTTTCTCAAAGTCCTATTTAGCTCTGGATCAACGGGAATAAGCGGTGATTGCTTACTCTTTCATGTCATGCAAAGTCAAACAAAGCTAAGAAAAACGTTAGCAATGACTATCGCAAGTTAAACACACATAAACAAAAATTAAGGTAAGAAAACTACTATACATATACACACATCTAGTCTCATTCAACAATAATACATTCAATGTGACTTTGCCTCCCCGGCAACGGCGCCAAAATTTGATAGGCCGTCATCGAGCCTACCAAAGATAATAATTTCTATCTTGGTCTCACTAACAATAGTAAGGGTAAGAAAGGGTCGAACCCAAGAGAGGCGTTGAATCAACCACCGAGTACTACCGTTTAAATAAGCTAAATGAATTCTAAATTGGGTTGGTTTTGAATAACTTCTTCTAATTCAACTCAACTAAAGCTAAGAGAAGATTAACAATATTAAGAGGAATCTAGGGCTCGGGTTATACCACTCAACTTCATCACAAATCACAATTAGCATGCTACAATCAAGGTGAATTAATGGGACAAATTAGGGGAAGTCATCTAAAGCACCCAACTACTCTCTCAAGCTAGAGGGATTACTTGAATCGTGAATACAACCTACTCTCGTGGTTACATAGCATAAAACAAGTGTTAAAGAATAATCACGATGACATAAACATTCCCTTGACCGGTAATCCCTATTCTCATGGCATTTCGGGTCAATTAAGCATAAGGGAGCTAACTCAAGTTCATCTCTCGATCCTTCGTTGAGAAAGCTTGGATAAATAGTTCTAGCAATGGCCATATACAAGAACTAAGAAATTAAACCACTTAAGCTCAACTAATCATCATCCCACAACAACCAAATTAGCACATGCAACAAGTAATTAGTGACTACATTGAGGGTTTTACCCAAACCCTAGAATTTAGTCTACTCACAATCCATGGAGGTTAAAGCAATTAGAGGTTTCAAGCAATTCATGAACAAGTTCAAACTAAGGATTAAGCTAATTAACAATCTAAGCATGCAAGAATTAAGCAAGTAATCAACAACAAAGTAAAGAGAAGTAGAAAAGATGAGTAATAAATGGTTACTATGAAGCTTCAAAGTGAGCAACAATGGTGGATTTTGTCTTCTACAATGATTGAATTTGAATGCTTCCAAGCTAAAAATTAAGAACTAACTAATGATTTGAGAATTTAATATTCTAAGACTACAAACTAAGAGGAAAGCTCTAAAAAAAAACTGCCCCTTACAAATGAGCTCAAAGGGGGGTATTTATAAGACCCCCAAATAAAAAAGACGGAGAAAACAAGAATCGGGCTTGATTGCAGGTCCGCACGGACGTGCCAGATTCGGCACGGACGTGCAAGCATAAGCACGGTCGTGCCAGATTCGGCACGGACGTGCAGAGGGGGCAGAATTGAGGCAGAACGTACTGCTAAGAATCGAGCAGCTCCGCACGGACGTGCAGATATTGGCACTGACGTGCAGCTACATCTGCACGGACGTGCTTAATTTGGCACGTCCGTGCAGGCCTTGGCAGAGTGTTCTAAGTTTTTGGAGCACTCCTGCACGGACGTGCAAGGTCTGGCACGGTCGTGCAGCCTCTTCTGCACGGACGTGCCAAATTAAGCACGGCCGTGCAGGCCTTGGCAACTTGTTGAAACTTTCTGGAACCTCCTGCACGGACGTGCAAGGTCTGGCACGGCCGTGCAGGGTCTTCTAAGCCCTTTTTTCCATCTTTTCTTCTATATTGCTCCTTTCCTTGGCTTCTTTCAACCATCTTCTTGCTTCTAACCTCGGCTTTGTATCCATGGGCTCCATTTGGTCGTTCTTTTGAATCTAGAATCTCAACAAAAACACCAACAACCCGTGAAGCATAGGATACACAAAAATTGCATAATAATAGAGTAAAAATGAACCAAAACGCAATTTTTATCAAGTAAACTAGGTTCAAAACACCCTAAAATCATATCAAATAGCAAGTTATCAAATCCCCCCAAGCTAAGCTTTTGCTCGTCCTCGAGCAAAACAAACATGTCAAACCAAAGGAGGAAAACAATTTGCTAATCATCAATCCAAGGAGAGGCAACAAGGGGGAAGCATAAATAAACAAATCCGCATGGTGACAACCATCATCACTTTTAGCACAAGTGAGAAGCAATTTAAACCTCTAAGTCGCCTTAGAGGACGAGTTTTTATCTCGTGAGGGTTTCCAATGAGTTAACCCCACAACTCACGCAATCCACAACACATCGACAAAAATCACACAAGTTCAATTTTTCGCCCAAGTCAACTCATCGGGATATGAGACACAAGCAAGACAAGTGAACGACTTTCAAGAATTACCAATCATACAAATGTACACATGAGTTGGGGGTAGAGAGGAGAACTAAACAAAGTTGCACTAGGATACTTCCTTTGGCCTTTTACTAGTTCATTAGAGCACACCTAGATATTCCAAAGTTGTAACAAGCCCTCTTTCGGTTATAAAATCTCAAAATGCTAGTCCACCTCCCAAAATGCACACCCAAGGCCCCTTAACTACACTCTAACTCGGGAATTTCATAAGAAACATCAATGCAAACAAGGTGTGGGAGGCATCCACGAGTTGACCTCTAAAGAAGAGAATTTTTTTTTTTGAGAAGTTTTGGGGTAGTTTTTGTTCTCCCCTTTTTTTATGCTCTTCTTTTTTTTTCAACTTTCAATGCTCTCGCCTCTTTTAACTGTGAGCGGCTCTTTCTTTATTGAGAACGTGTGGCTTATTATGCCACTTATTACACATAATACAAGTAGAGCTAATTCCTTAATAGAGTTTCATTTCGGGGAGGAGAGGAGGCACATTAAGGGCACAAGGGACCGCAATTTGACTCAAACATATCCTACTTTGGGTAAAATTGACAATATCATATGCTAGACGTGCAATTGAGCATTCATCGGCTTTCATTTCATATACACTAATGCAACCAGGATTAATAGACCTCTAAATGACCCCAACTCTTGCATACACCCTTCTAAAAGAACTTTTACTCATCACTCAAGAGTCAAGCAAGCAAGACATATTAGCGTCGTCATTTGAGTTTCATCCTTGGGCAATTTTCATTTTTCAATATTTTTTTTTTGTTTTTTAATAATTTTTTTTTATAAGAAATGAAAAATTACAGCATTAGGCTAGCTAAACTAAGCATAAAAATAAATTAAAAAAAAAACTATACATCTAAATAAAAAGATAAGAGAGGTATTCACAAGATAAGAAATTTGGATTTAGGGTATTGGATTTCAAAGGGAGAAAATTTGGATTTAAAGGATAGCTCTGATATGGTTTTCTGTCTTCTCCAAGATTGGGCTTCAGAGGTCTCTTGCTTTTGGTTATTGTGTGATATTCGACGTCTTCTTGATAGCCTTTCAGTTTGCCGAATTTCTAAGGTGCCTCGGTTCTGGGTTGCCCCGGCTCAATGGTTAGCCCGGCATGCTAGGCAGCGTAGGGTTTTGTTTTGGTCCTTTTTGTTTGCTTTGTTTTGGTTTGTTTTTAGGTTTGTTAGTTACTATTGTCCAAAAAAAAAACACTACCTTACTATATTGATCAAAATGAGAATAGGAAGCCAATAGTTTGATTTTAATAAAAAAATAAAAATTCAACTCATTCTTACATCTCTATATATGTATTAAATTAACTTGTGTTTTCGAAAGTAGATAATATAATCAATAGTTTAATTCTTTACCAAACTTAATTTCTAAATTATAGAGAGTGTTGAGACTTCCTATATATGGCCCAATCAAAATAAAATACACTATAATGGTACGTTCATTATTAATTTTGTGTCATAAGTATTTATTTTAACCAATTGGATGTTGGTGTAGTGGTGATTGGGACTACACTTGGTAGGGAGGACCTGTGTTCGATCCCCCACAACAACAATTGGGAGGGGACTGGAACCTAACCACCCAGAACTGATCTCTGAATTCGGATTAGCCCAAAAAAAAAGGGTGAACCGGGTAGAACACAAAAAAAAAGTATTTATTTTAAGGATTGAACCATACATTTAAATTGTGAATTTTAATACGAGTACTAGAATGAGACTATGAGAATTGTTGCTTCAAATGTCACATGCACTTTTATTGGTGTATAGACCGTCTACATGCTCCTCGAGTCCTAGATCTCTGTCTATCGCTCTCTTTGTGTGTGTATGCGCGCTGGATATATAAGTGTTTCCTATGATAGGATGGGGCCCCTCCCCGTAGTTTACCGGTCAAAAAAAAAAAGTGTTTCCTGCCTCATATTAATTTATTTAGACCAGTTGATTGTTGGTGCGGTGATGATTGGGAGATTTGAGACTGTACTTGGTAAAGAGGACTACATGTTCGATCCCCAGCAACAATAATTGGAAGGGGGTTGGAACCTAATCCCCAAAATTGAACCCCAAATCTAAATTAGCCTAACGAGTGAACCGAGTAGAACACGAAAAAATATTAACTTATTTTGGAGAGGAATTAATTCTATAACATGCTTCCGGTAATTATATTAGGCTTTAATTTAGTAAAGCAGCTGAAGCCAATCAATTAATGATCGATTCTACTTGGTGTTTACGTGACCTTGTAGATACATTGTACAAGTATAATAATAGCAGGCTTTTTAACTTAGTTAAACCCATAAGTTATCATTAATTCCTACCAAAAATGTATAACCACCTAATAATTAACGTCATTGGTCAATTATGTCTCACGATCATTAATTCTACTCCGTATTTGAGTATTGAATCCATTCGTATCACATAATTCCAACAATTTAAACATCACAATTTTCATATGTGGCTGGGAGGCTGGCCACACACACTGTGTGGTCAGCCATCATTAGAGTTATTTCGTTAGTGTTATAGGGGTTATCCGGTCAGTATTAGGGGTTAATTCGT